CAAAAACCTCTCCAAAAAAAGTTCCAACTCTAACCATAAGATTATTTATCTTGGCAACACAGCTGCCATCCTGAGGTTACCTATGGATTTTCCAAAATTGCCTCATTAACACAAATTCAGGTGTGGTTGGAAGGTGCTTGCTATCAATAAAAAAGATGTCTTTCACCCCATGATAAGAACCTTTTTATGAACCACAGATAAGAACTGAATATTATCAGGAACCAAGGGCAGAGACTAAATATTGGGTTGTCAGAAAAGTCATGATGTAATTTTTCTGTTTATCTATGCAAAATGCATCATTACGTTTGAGACAACCCAATATATATTTATTTTTATTTTTTTTAGAGAGAGATTTTTGCTATAGGATGTGTGCACTTGCCAGATAGAGAGCAACAGAGAGACAGAAAGCAAGAAATCACCCTCCGGGGGGATGGCTATGCCATAATCCCTTCTCCATACTCCTCTTGAGATTTTGGGCACTCATGCACACGCATTCGGTGTGAGTTTCAACCCTCCAGGTCTGGACTTGAACGGCAATTGTCAAGTGAGAGCCCAGCAACACCACCATTATGCCATCTGCTTCTCCCTCAATATATATTTCTTATGATGCCACAAAGGCAAAGTTCACTGACCTGCCTCAGGCCAAGCATAGGTTGGAAACACTGGGGTACTAGCTAGACTCCTTGCCAAGTGGCCTGCAGTGACACAGGGCAAGTTCTGGGCTTTCTGCATGACACTGGCAGTCACATCAAGAAAAAAGGCATGTCCTCTACTATGTCTAGCAGTGTCCCTGTCAGTGCAGTTTACATGCAAGTCTACCATGTGCCAGATGGTGGAGAATGAATGTTTGCAGGGTCCCTCTGTAGTGTCACAGGGCAGGGCAGGATGGGGTTGACTTGAAATAGAGAGGCAATAAAATGGTAACGGGCACCATCCACACGTGGCTACACACTCCTACTTTACACACTTTACACAGCATTTTACACACATATGAACTTTCATAGAACTATATTTTCACCTATCAAAGCTGCCTTAAAAACGAAGTCTCATTCTTTCTCTAAAATAAGGAGACAGACAGTCCCAGTCAGTATATCCAAAACAGCTACACCATTACCCTCAAATTCAGTCACAGTCACATTAGTTATACTGTGACTTAAAGACTATAAGTTATATTGGGGACAGCAGGTGGCCTGGTGGTTAAGGGCACTGGACTCCCACATGCCAACAGCAGTTTGATTCCAGGACCTGAGGGCTTGCTTTCTCGCTTTCCTTCTCTCTCTTACTCTGTCCCTCTCTGGTCAAATAAAATAAATAAATGAAGTTAAATAAAATAATTATTAAAAAGTTAAAAAGACTGTAATTTTAAACCCATTTCCAAACAACTTATATATAAAATTACTAATGTAAAAAGATAATAAAATGGTCCATACATACAAATAAACATTTATTTGATAAGCCAAGATGAAATATGCAACGCTATACAGTCCTTGTTTTTGTAACTGGTCACACGGTCAGAACTGAAGGCTATGACTTTGTTAACCAAAAAGTAAAATAAAATAAAATAAAATAAAGGCTGAGGCAAAGTAAATAAAGCAGATTTTATTTGGACCAGGACAAGGACAATTGCCCAGACACCACAATATCCAAGTTGCCCTAAATCCTGTGCTGAGCTCTGACAGAATTCAGGGTGATTCTTAAAGGCAAAATTTGTGAATGGGGAGGAGGATTATGACAGTGCGTACTGAGCAGTTTCGTACGGCAGTCATTGGCTAATGCTATGACGAGAGGAGCAGGAGGACCTCATAGTCATCTGGGGTCAGGGTGGGAGTTAGTGAGTCTGGCACACTGTGAAATTAGTTTTAAGTAGAAAGAATGGTTTGGATGCTCAGAGTAAATCATTCCCTCTGGAATCTGAAGGGGCCTGGGAGACTACAGGTTAGCACAAACTTTGTCCAGGAGAGTTGACATTCTTCCTGCGATATCAGCTTAGTTAATGAAACTTCAGGGACAGGGCCAAAGGCAATTGTTTTCTCCTTCCACCAGCCTGGTCTACAGGCCAAAAGGAAATGACAGAGTAAACTCCTTTCCTGTACTTTGGGGCAGAAAGGGGGACCTATCAGCTTTCTTAAAGTTTTAGTTTAATGATGTGTCATTTTAGCATGAGTGACCCCACTTCACTCTGATCTGTTGGAGCCTAGAGAAGAAGCTTAGTTCAAAATCATGACCTCCTATAATTTTTATTTGATTTTCAACAATTTCTTCCACTTCCTATATTATGTCTTTGTACTCTTAGCGGGAGCCATGGCTGGTCAGATTTCCTGCTATAGGGCACGTGTGCTCGCCAAAAAGACAGGGAACCAGCAGTTAGCATAATGGCTATGTTGCTGGACTCCCACGTAGTTGCGCGGTTCCCGTCCTGGACCCGGTGGCTTCAAACTCATGCCGGGCGCGTGTGTGTGCATGCCCAAGATCCCGAGAGGAGAATGGAGGAGAAGGGATTGCGGCGTGACCATCCCCCCTGGGGGGGTGATTTCTCGCTTTCTGTCTCTCTGTCTCTGTCTGCCTGGCGAGTGCACGCACCCTATAGCGAAAAACCTCTCC